GTGTGTGTGTGTGTGTGTGTGTGTGTGTGTGTGTGTGTGTGTGTGTGAGTGTGTGTGTGTCTGTCTGTATGAGTGTGTGTGTGTGTGTGCATCTGTATGTGTGTATCTTTGAGTGTATGTGTGTGAGTGTCTGTATGTGTGTGTGTGTGTTTGAGTCTGTCTGTGTGTGTGTGTGATTGTGTGTGTGTTTCTGTGTGTCTGTGTGTGTGTGTGTGTTTGTATGTGTGTATTTGTGTTTGTGTGTCCATGTGTGTGTATCTCTTTCTGTCTCTATGTGTATCTGTGTGTGTTTCTCTGTGTGTGTGTAAGTGTGTGTGTGTATTTGTCTGTGTGAGTGTGTGTGTTTCTGTGTGTGAGTCAAAAGTTGTGAGCTTGATCTGAGATTTAGGGGTGCAAACAGAGGACCACCACAACAACAACAACAACAACACTCACCCGGGACGTTGCTTTCCTTTTGTACTTGTTGTTGTAGTCGAACTTCTCTTTGACCTCGTCCAATAGCCGCTCTGCGCGTGCGCGTTCCTCCTTCCCGTCGTAATCCGGGGCCAGGAGCACGTACGCGCGCCAGTTGTCCGAGTCGAAGCCCCAGTGGCACGTGCGGTTCTCCTGCCTCCGGTGCCCGTGCACCACGAACTTATTTGGGGGGAACATGAGGCGGCAGTCCGCGCACTGCACGCACGCGGACCCCGGGCGCGCGTACAGCTCGGGCACGAGCACGCCGCGGCACCGGCCGAAGCACTCGTGGTAGACCCGCAGACTGAGCTCCGTGCTCTGGATCTGGAGCCCCAGGGAGGAACCGGAACCATTACCTCCGGGGAAGGAGGAGGGGGGGGCGTGGGATGGACCTTTGGCCGGGGATGAGGAGCGGGGACCCGGCTTGGTTGGGCCGGGGAAGCCGGGGGCTGAGGCTGGAACCGGACCCCCCAGGGAAGAACCACCACTACCGGGGAAAGTAGGGGGGGCTGGACCCAGACATCTGGCCGGGGATGGGGAGCAGGGACCCGGCTTGGTTAGTGGAGTTTGTCCCGGTCCCGGTGGAGGTGGAGGTGGGTACCGTTCCGTGTTCTGGATCTCCAGGCCAGGGACTGGACCCAGACCCAGACTTCCGGCCGGGGATGAGGAGCAGGGACCCGGTCCTGGTCCTGGTCCTGGTCCCAGTCCCGGTGGGTACGACCCCCCACGGATCAACGCGCTAGATAACCGCTCCGTGGTCTGGATCTCCAGACCCAGACCCAGACCTCCGACCGGGGATGGGGAGCATGGACCCGGCTTGGTTAGTGGACCCGGTCCCGGTCCTAGTCCCGGTCCTGGTCCCGGTGGACCCGGAAGTGAAGCCGGTGGGTACGCACAACCTTGGATCAACTCTCTGGAGAAACGCTCCGTGGTTTGAAGTTCCAGGGAGGAACCGCCACCACCGGGGAATCCTGGGGTTGGACCCAGACCTCCGACCGGGGATGGGGAGCAGGGACCCGGCTTGGCATGTGGACTCTGTCCCGGTCCCGGTCCTAGTCCCGGTCCTGGTCCTCGTCCCAGTCCCGGTCCCGGTCCTGGTGGAGGTGGGTACTGGAGATCCAGACCGGGGAATCCAGGGACTGGACCCAGACCCACACCTCCGGCCGGGGAAGAGGAACATGCACCCGGCTTGGCATGTGGACTCTGTCCCGGTCCTAGTCCTAATCCCGGTGGTCCCGGTAAACCCGGAAGTGAAGCCGGTGGGTAGGCTCCCCCCTGGATGAGCGCGCTGCAGAGCCTCTCCGCGTCCGTCTTGGTGATGAGCCCGCAGGAGGGCGCGGCGAAGGGCAGCACGCCCAGCAGCTTGAGGATGTCCAGCTGCTCCGCGGTGCAGCGCGAGCAGTACACGTGCAGCCGGTCGCACACGGCGTTGATCTGCTGCAGCGTGAACGCGCGCAGCACCGTGTTCAGGATCTGCGGCAGGCACAGCCGCTTCTCCCCCCCCACCACGAAGCACGAGATGCCCTCCCCGTGCAGGAGCGTCTCCCCGCGCTCCGTGGAGCGGTCCGAGGGCACGAGCAGGGGCAGGTGGAGCAGATGTGGATGTGGGTGGTGGTGAGGATGAGGAGGATGAGGAGGAAGAGGAGGAAGAGGAGGAAGAGGCTCGTGCTCCTTGCCCTCCTTCTTGAAGAGCAGCTCGTGCTGCCAGCGCGCGCTGAAGGCCGCGGGACCGCCCAGGGAGCTCATGGAGCTGAGGTGGAACTGCTGCAGGGTCTGCTGCAGCCCCGCGTGCGGCTGGAAGCCCCTCCGGGTGGAGGTCTCCATGTTTCCACTTCCACCCCCTCTCCACTCCCTCTATACCACCACAACCAACCGAAATTGGCTTCAGGAGAAGAAGAAGAAGAGGAGGAAAAAGAGGCGTAAAAGAGGCGTAAATCCCGCTCTGGTCCGGCCGGGAATGGAGCTCCGTCCCCCGGGTAGATCACGTCCCTGCTGCACCCTCTGCGTCCCGGAGCTCCCAAAGACTCATCCAACATCCACGGAAACCGGTAAAAAAGCAAGAAAACACGCAAAAAAAGAAGAAAAACACGCAAAAAAAACAGAAAACAACGCAAAAATTTGAGAAAAAGACGCCAAAAAAAAAAAGTCCCGGCCG